CCGTTATCCATTCACGCACGCATATGCATATAGAAAGAGTGCATGGGCTATATAATAGACCCCATTCAAACTAAGGGAAAAATATTAGTCCGAAAATTTGGGACTCTCAATACTGGGTATGAGAGTCCCAAAACTAAGGTATTGAAAACATGCAATACAAGACAGTTAATAGACTCATTGCACCTGAAAAAACAGTACAACTGCATCGGGAGTCCTGTTTAAAAAGGAACAACGTAGGACGCTGTGTCGCCCAAAGGTTAAATTTGTGATTGTAATGCGCAGGAAAATACAATAGATAAAATTTAATTATACTCAAATAATACAATACAATGAATTGCTTCAGTGCACCCGTAAGCTGCAAGGCACTTTGTGCATCTACCCAGAATACTTTGTGAATCACACTCACATTTCTAGATCATGGAGAATGACGTGGATGGTTTTTGAACTGCCAAAAACCTGCCTTAAAATTGGATTTAAAGTCTCAAATTTTGCAGGTGACATGCTTGCAACTATAGCATTTTGATGTATGTGTTGTGTGGGCATTAATTAGCCGAATGGTGAGTAAAAAAACGTCAGTAGTAATTTTGCATTTTCGTAACGTGAGCAACCGATTTTGTGCGTCTTGTTTATCATACATATCATTTTTTTGGATGTCATCTTAGTGTCTAGGTAGGTCTAGGTCTACTCTATCTACCATGGGGATAACAGTTATTAAACCTTTTCAGTAAGGTAATTACAGCCCAAGGAAACTCAAAAGTACATCAAAAATGTAACGTGAGTAAACGTGAAATTGCCCATTTACTTTTAACAGCCTACAGTTTTAGATGGTTATAGAAGTTTTCGGTGAAGATATAAATGTCTTTATTTACCACGAACGCCTATACAGCTGACTTGTTGAGCTCTATTTCAAAAAGGTCCTGCATGTATATGTACATGTATGTGTACATGAGCATGTAGTGGGTCAGGATCAAGCTCAGTTCGCTTCGCCGTTACGGTTCAAAGTTCATGTTTTCACTAGTTCTCATAAAAGTTGTTAGCACAATTCAACTTGTATTGAAAGCGGATTGGCAGCATTGCATTGTATATGGTCATATGGTCATATGGTCCTTTGTGAGAAACTTGCAGACCGTAGCAAATACCTTCAGGCACACTGCTAGCCCGTTATCCATTCACGCACGCATATGCATATAGAAAGAGTGCATGGGCTATATAATAGACCCCATTCAAACTAAGGGAAAAATATTAGTCCGAAAATTTGGGACTCTCAATACTGGGTATGAGAGTCCCAAAACTAAGGTATTGAAAACATGCAATACAAGACAGTTAATAGACTCATTGCACCTGAAAAAACAGTACAACTGCATCGGGAGTCCTGTTTAAAAAGGAATAACGTAGGACGCTGTGTCGCCCAAAGGTTAAATTTGTGATTGTAATGCGCAGGAAAATACAATAGATAAAATTTAATTATACTCAAATAATACAATACAATGAATTGCTTCAGTGCACCCGTAAGCTGCAAGGCACTTTGTGCATCTACCCAGAATACTTTGTGAATCGCACTCACATTTCTAGATCATGGAGAATGACGTGGATGGTTTTTGAACTGCCAAAAACCTGCCTTAAAATTGGATTTAAAGTCTCAAATTTCGCAGGTGACATGCTTGCAACTATAGCATTTTGATGTATGTGTTGTGTGGGCATTAATTAGCCGAATGGTGAGTAAAAAAACGTCAGTAGTAATTTTGCATTTTCGTAACGTGAGCAACCGATTTTGTGCGTCTTGTTTATCATACATATCATTTTTTTTGGATGTCATCTTAGTGTCTAGGTAGGTCTAGGTCTACTCTATCTACCATGGGGATAACAGTTATTAAACCTTTTCAGTAAGGTAATTACAGCCCAAGGAAACTCAAAAGTACATCAAAAATGTAACGTGAGTAAACGTGAAATTGCCCATTTACTTTTAACAGCCTACAGTTTTAGATGGTTATAGAAGTTTTCGGTGAAGATATAAATGTCTTTATTTACCGCAAACGCCTATACAGCTGACTTGTTGAGCTCTATTTCAAAAAGGTCCTGCATGTATATGTACATGTATGTGTACATGAACATGTAGTGGGTCAGGATCAAGCTCAGTTCACTTCGCCGTTACGGTTCAAAGTTCATGTTTTCACTAGTTCTCATAAAAGTTGTTAGCACAATTCAACTTGTATTGAAAGCGGATTGGCAGCATTGCATTGTATATGGTCATATGGTCATATGGTCCTTTGTGAGAAACTTGCAGACCGTAGCAAATACCTTCAGGCACACTGCTAGCCCGTTATCCATTCACGCACGCATATGCATATAGAAAGAGTGCATGGGCTATATAATAGACCCCATTCAAACTAAGGGAAAAATATTAGTCCGAAAATTCGGGACTCTCAATACTGGGTATGAGAGTCCCAAAACTAAGGTATTGAAAACCTGCAATACAAGACAATTAATAGACTCATTGCACCTGAAACAACAGTACAACTGCATCGGGAGTCCTGTTTAAAAGGAATAACGTAGGACGCTGTGTCGCCCAAAGGTTAAATTTGTGGTTGTAATGCGCAGGAAAATACAATAGATAAAATTTAATTAAACTCAAATAATACAATACAATGACGCGGATTATATGGTATGGTATTATGAAAGGTGACACCAGCGAAAGAGTGAACAGCTAAATTGTAGGACTAAATAACGGTAAATGTCACGGTGGAAACTGGAAGAAATTCAATTCAATTGCCATTGAAAAGTACACATTACATGTATATCTCTATTTATGCTAAATAGACGCACTCCATTAATCCAAACGATCGAGAAATTGTCCATAATGAACCACGCACTATACAATTAATTTGATCGTAAAATACTACCGGTAGGGTAGTATTTTACGATCAAATTAATTGTAGGTAGTAAAAGCCATCACCGCGATTGTATTACTAAAATATTAGTCCGAAAATTTGGGACTCTCAATACTGGGTATGAGAGTCCCAAAACTAAGGTATTGAAAACATGCAATACAAGACAGTTAATAGACTCATTGCACCTGAAAAAACAGTACAACTGCATCGGGAGTCCTGTTTAAAAAGGAACAACGTAGGACGCTGTGTCGCCCAAAGGTTAAATTTGTGATTGTAATGCGCAGGAAAATACAATAGATAAAATTTAATTATACTCAAATAATACAATACAATGAATTGCTTCAGTGCACCCGTAAGCTGCAAGGCACTTTGTGCATCTACCCAGAATACTTTGTGAATCACACTCACATTTCTAGATCATGGAGAATGACGTGGATTGTTTTTGAACTGCCAAAAACCTGCCTTAAAATTGGATTTAAAGTCTCAAATTTCGCAGGTGACATGCTTGCAACTATAGCATTTTGATGTATGTGTTGTGTGGGCATTAATTAGCCGAATGGTGAGTAAAAAAACGTCAGTAGTAATTTTGCATTTTCGTAACGTGAGCAACCGATTTTGTGCGTCTTGTTTATCATACATATCATTTCTTTTGGATGTCATCTTAGTGTCTAGGTAGGTCTAGGTCTACTCTATCTACCATGGGGATAACAGTTATTAAACCTTTTCAGTAAGGTAATTACAGCCCAAGGAAACTCAAAAGTACATCAAAAATGTAACGTGAGTAAACGTGAAATTGCCCATTTACTTTTAACAGCCTACAGTTTTAGATGGTTATAGAAGTTTTCGGTGAAGATATAAATGTCTTTATTTACCGCGAACGCCTATACAGCTGACTTGTTGAGCTCTATTTCAAAAAGGTCCTGCATGTATATGTACATGTATGTGTACATGAGCATGTAGTGGGTCAGGATCAAGCTCAGTTCACTTCGCCGTTACGGTTCAAAGTTCATGTTTTCACTAGTTCTCATAAAAGTTGTTAGCACAATTCAACTTGTATTGAAAGCGGATTGGCAGCATTGCATTGTATATGGTCCTATGGTCATATGGTCCTTTGTGAGAAACTTGCAGACCGTAGCAAATACCTTCAGGCACACTGCTAGCCCGTTATCCATTCACGCACGCATATGCCTATAGAAAGAGTGCATGGGCTATATAATAGACCCCATTCAAACTAAGGGAAAAATATTAGTCCGAAAATTTGGGACTCTCAATACTGGGTATGAGAGTCCCAAAACTAAGGTATTGAAAACCTGCAATACAAGACAATTAATAGACTCATTGCACCTGAAACAACAGTACAACTGCATCGGGAGTCCTGTTTAAAAGGAATAACGTAGGACGCTGTGTCGCCCAAAGGTTAAATTTGTGGTTGTAATGCGCAGGAAAATACAATAGATAAAATTTAATTAAACTCAAATAATACAATACAATGACGCGGATTATATGGTATGGTATTATGAAAGGTGACACCAGCGAAAGAGTGAACAGCTAAATTGTAGGACTAAATAACGGTAAATGTCACGGTGGAAACTGGAAGAAATTCAATTCAATTGCCATTGAAAAGTACACATTACATGTATATCTCTATTTATGCTAAATAGACGCACTCCATTAATCCAAACGATCGAGAAATTGTCCATAATGAACCACGCACTATACAATTAATTTGATCGTAAAATACTACCGGTAGGGTAGTATTTTACGATCAAATTAATTGTAGGTAGTAAAAGCCATCACCGCGATTGTATTACTAAAATATTAGTCCGAAAATTTGGGACTCTCAATACTGGGTATGAGAGTCCCAAAACTAAGGTATTGAAAACATGCAATACAAGACAGTTAATAGACTCATTGCACCTGAAAAAACAGTACAACTGCATCGGGAGTCCTGTTTAAAAAGGAACAACGTAGGACGCTGTGTCGCCCAAAGGTTAAATTTGTGATTGTAATGCGCAGGAAAATACAATAGATAAAATTTAATTATACTCAAATAATACAATACAATGAATTGCTTCAGTGCACCCGTAAGCTGCAAGGCACTTTGTGCATCTACCCAGAATACTTTGTGAATCACACTCACATTTCTAGATCATGGAGAATGACGTGGATTGTTTTTGAACTGCCAAAAACCTGCCTTAAAATTGGATTTAAAGTCTCAAATTTCGCAGGTGACATGCTTGCAACTATAGCATTTTGATGTATGTGTTGTGTGGGCATTAATTAGCCGAATGGTGAGTAAAAAAACGTCAGTAGTAATTTTGCATTTTCGTAACGTGAGCAACCGATTTTGTGCGTCTTGTTTATCATACATATCATTTCTTTTGGATGTCATCTTAGTGTCTAGGTAGGTCTAGGTCTACTCTATCTACCATGGGGATAACAGTTATTAAACCTTTTCAGTAAGGTAATTACAGCCCAAGGAAACTCAAAAGTACATCAAAAATGTAACGTGAGTAAACGTGAAATTGCCCATTTACTTTTAACAGCCTACAGTTTTAGATGGTTATAGAAGTTTTCGGTGAAGATATAAATGTCTTTATTTACCGCGAACGCCTATACAGCTGACTTGTTGAGCTCTATTTCAAAAAGGTCCTGCATGTATATGTACATGTATGTGTACATGAGCATGTAGTGGGTCAGGATCAAGCTCAGTTCACTTCGCCGTTACGGTTCAAAGTTCATGTTTTCACTAGTTCTCATAAAAGTTGTTAGCACAATTCAACTTGTATTGAAAGCGGATTGGCAGCATTGCATTGTATATGGTCCTATGGTCATATGGTCCTTTGTGAGAAACTTGCAGACCGTAGCAAATACCTTCAGGCACACTGCTAGCCCGTTATCCATTCACGCACGCATATGCCTATAGAAAGAGTGCATGGGCTATATAATAGACCCCATTCAAACTAAGGGAAAAATATTAGTCCGAAAATTTGGGACTCTCAATACTGGGTATGAGAGTCCCAAAACTAAGGTATTGAAAACCTGCAATACAAGACAATTAATAGACTCATTGCACCTGAAACAACAGTACAACTGCATCGGGAGTCCTGTTTAAAAGGAATAACGTAGGACGCTGTGTCGCCAAAAGGTTAAATTTGTGGTTGTAATGCGCAGGAAAATACAATAGATAAAATTTAATTAAACTCAAATAATACAATACAATGACGCGGATTATATGGTACGGTATTATGAAAGGTGACACCAGCGAAAGAGTGAACAGCTAAATTGTTGGACTAAATGTCGGTAAATGTCACGGTGGAAACTGGAAGAAATTCAATTCAATTGCCATTGAAAAGTACACATTACATGTATATCTCTATTTATGCTAAATAGACGCACTCCATTAATCCAAACGATCGAGAAATTGTCCATAATGAACCACGCACTATACAATTAATTTGATCGTAAAATACTACCGGTTGGGTAGTATTTTACGATCAAATTAATTGTAGGTAGTAAAAGCCATCACCGCGATTGTATTACTAAACAGCGTTGCGCATGCCGTATAAAGAAAATAAATGTCTGATGATTACGTTACAGAACTTAAAACCACGACTTCTATATAGCCGATCGGAATTTCGGATAGTGTGACAGTACGCTAGTCTTAAAGTGAATGTACATCATTGGTTTTTGCTGTAATTTCCAAAAATGAACTATTTGAGGGGTTAATATAATAGATCAAATATTGTTACACTGACAAGTTTTGTGTTCAAAAATGCAGGAAAAGCCAAGAAAAACAAAAATGTTCAAGTAGTCTGGTTCCGTGACTCCACTAAAGATGAAATTGATCAATTTATAGATGCCGGAAAATTGTAAGGTAAGGGAACCAGTTTAGCTGGCCTGCACCCGCTCATGAACATGTAACCAATAGCAAACACAATTTTGACTGAAAAATAGTAAATTTGGAGCAGTAGTTATAGTAAGGTTTTTCCAACGGTGGTCGGCTGACCACCGTTGGAAATTTATACAAAAACACCATTTTCTTGAAAATGACTTCACACCAGGTGCCATCATTTTACAGGATGCTTAAGATTGTCATTAACCAACGTCCTAGTAAGGTATTTCGTAAAAACTTGGTAGTTTTATTTGTTGATGTTTGCAAAATGTTGTATATTCCCTTTAAGTACTGCTTTGACAGAACCTAATACTAAATTAGTAAACCCTTCTTGTTTTATGTTGACATTTTTGGACAGGCCATGGAGCTTCAAACACACGAAAACGGCAACATGGAGGGTACGCAGAAAGATGCGAATAGTCAGGTGCCTTCTCCGATGGAGACTCCGCCCAGAGGTTTGGCAACTCCAGAGGAAGCGGTTAATGCCGACGGTGACCAGCAACCAGCGAAGAGCAGGTTTACATCCCACCAGATAGCCACCATTGTGGGCACCATTTTGGCCGCGCTTACTAACATGATGGCTTACTCGGTCATCACGGTGTTCTACCCTATTGAGGTAAGTTCAACCCGCGTGGGGGGGGGGGGGGATGGGGCCCCATAAATTGGCCGTGCCCCCAGGTCCCCCACCAAAATACTGATAATGCCCCTCTTCCTTCCCCAACCAAAAAGGCTTTTTGTAAGTTGTATTTTTTTTAGTTAGCCAAATTTCTTATGTCAATGGATATAGCGAGGCATTAGGCCAGAAAAAAAGTCTCCGGTTTCTGGTATGGAGCTTGCCCCAAAAGTGGTGCGGCGACGCGGCTTTTTTTTTTTTTTACCTGATTTTTTTTGCTTCCAATGTCGGCTGATGACTGCAAATGGTGCCCGACTAAACTTAGTGCAAATATATGGGAGTCCAGAGAGGCCACATAAAGCTTATTCTCGACCATAACCCAATCTAAGAACACGTTAAAATTGTGCAGCAGCATGATTCCAGTCAAACCGGTGAGTTTGGGAGTTTTGAGACATCATCTTTCATTGAAAAAAAAACCTTTTCATTTTGCCGACGCGCATGGCAACGGCGACGCGCGCGCATACCAGAAACCGGAGACTTTTTTTTTTGGCCTTAGGATGCAGCCTCATACAAGCAACCTGTCGGCTGGCTCCTTAGGCCGAATTAAAAAAAAACATGTTTTTCGTCCGGGTGTTTGAAAAAAAAGGAGGAAGCAGGGCTTTTAATTTTTTGTCATGTTTTATTTCAATGAAATAATTTAAAAAAAATGAATAACATAATATAATACATTTGCGGGGTGAATATAAAAGAGAGATCACCCACTGAAAAAAAAGCACTCCCTCTTGCCCACAATATTTCAAAAAAGGCGTATATGGACCTTATAGGTAGCAGTCATCAAGGCAATACATTTGTCTTGCTGTGAATACCAGAAATAATCCTTTTAAGCACTCATTGTTACTGAATTAAAATAACGAAGGATGCCCTATAAGATGGCCGCTATACGCATAAAGTCTACCCTTGAGGTCTAAGAAATACGAAGGCTGCTCAGGTTTAAGGTTTAAGGAATAAGTCAATCTGGTATGAAATGTCATCATGACCTACGTCAAAGTGAAAATGCACAAAACGCTGCTCCGTCCCATAAATTCAAACTTTTATTTTTCGATTCATTGACATTCAACGGTTGTATTCAAAAATGCTATCAAAAGTTTGGAAAACACAACGACTATCCTCTGTCAATAGAATTTCTGTAGAATATATTCTAGTATATATTTCTAGTATATATTTCCCTGCTCAGTCTCGCAATTGACTTTGTATTTCGTTAATCTTTCAGAAATTTGAGATAATTAACACACTGTTATAATGCAACTCAAAATAATTATAATATACACGACTACATGTAATTGTCGCACAGATTTTTCATATTATTCAGGGAATTATTGTAATTAAGGGAATTATTGTTGTTAATATATTTTTACTCTGTTGGACGGTTTTTAATCAAATTTGGTATACTACTTTTAATTGGATAGTTGTATTTTTGGGAGACAAGTGTTTTTACCAATTAATCTGAATAAATAAAGTATTATTCCATCCTGTATGCTCATTGTCTCTGTCCCTTTGCCAGATTCATGCTATTGTGTCTCATTCAGTGCACATCACTGGAGTTCGTTTCATTCCCTTTAACGCGTTTCTATCATTCCGTTCCCCCTGTGAGCGTCCTTCGTTTGTCTTCTAAGGCCCCCAAAAAGTCTCCGGTTTCTGGAATGGAGCTTGCCCCAAAAGTGGTGCGGCGACGCGGCTTTTTTTTTCTTACCTGATTTTTTTGCCTCAAATGTCGGCTGATGACTGCAAATAGTGCCCAACTAAACCTAGTGCAAATATATGGGAGTCCAGAGAGGCCACATAAAGCTTATTCTCGACCATAACCCAATTTAAAAACACGTTAAAATTGTGCAGCAGCATTTCTTTTACTTTTCCTATTTCGAAGGTCTGGTTGAAAGAAAAGTGAAATGTGGAAAGCATTTGACTTGAGCAAGTCAGCGTACCAGATTTTATTCAAATTTAACTCGCATATGGCTTATTCCTCTATACTGCTGTTAAAATCTGCAAGCTTCAATAACACAAATTTCTTAGATATATGTAGTTGATTGAAGGATGAAATCCGCTTTTTAGGGATTCATTATATCAAAAGATTTCCTGTCACTTTGCAACAGGCAAAGAAAAGGGGAATATCACAGACAGTTATTGGGATGGTGTTCAGCGTATTTTCCTTGTCATACAGCATAGGATCGCCCCTAATAGGCAAAATGGTAAGTCCCTGTTTGGTCTAAGAATTCAATAAGACTTTCATTATTTAGGGGAACGCAAAATATCTTGTGCTAATCTACAACATCTTTGAATGAGGAATGTAACAGTGGATTCAATAGACCTAAATTTCTTTTGTTTGTAAACATTGGCGCCATTTTATATGGGCTGTCGCAAGCGCATAAATTGAAGCCGTGGTTGGCAACATATTTTTTTCCCAAAAAGTCCCCATAACGCCATCAATACACAGTAAAAAAAAAAATGAGTAGGAATTGTGTTGAAGCTTTGTTGACAATGTTGTTTTTCCAACAATCTAATAATATTTTGGTTTTCTGTAATAACTCTTCTTCATTTTTGCAGTGTTGGACCTTCCATAGTTTTGCATCCCGTGGTTGGCAAAATGTGCAGTTTGCCAACCAAGCGTAGAAAGGTCTATAGGAACAAAAATAAAACCGACCATTTCTTTCACAAAACTCTGTTCTGTACTCGTCAAAAGATGGCGCTATTTGGTTGTTAGCGCCACTACCGGCTCATTTCCCCCCTTTTGCTAATCCACCGTAATAGTTACTGACTTTAACATTACATGTACATGTATTTGCTTCTTAGATACCAATCATTGGTGCCCGTTTCGCGTTTCTCGCCGGTTCGTTTATCACGGGAGGATGTAACATTCTGTTCGGGTGAGCATTAATCTCTTCATGTTCTCTCTTTTTTTTTTTTGCTTCATGGACCGTGTCGTGTTCCCTGAATGTATTTCATTAATTGTTAACTGTTGAATGGCGTGGCGCCAGACTATTTATGCAGCCTTATTTTACTTTCATTTTTTTCAAAATCTGGTTTAAAACATTAGGGAATATTTAATTACAAAGTGTAAATTATTCGTTTAAGCAGACTTGAATTATTTAGTAATGTTCCTGCTCTCAATTCTCTGCCCAAATTCCAAAGATTTTACCTCACTTTCAATTCAATAAGGCCCATTAGGATACAGTTTAACAATTGACAACTGGGGGTGTACTAACCGTTTTCTGTCTATATGCTATTACACAGGTTTATTATCGACATGCCCACAATCGCTACCTTCACTGGGTTCAGTTTCGCCATTCGCATTTTAGAGGGGCTCGGCTCGGCTGCTGTGCTGACGGCATCAGCGGCCATCGTAGCTTCTGTATGCCCTGACGATGTTGGCAAGGCTGTGGTATAAAAAAGTTACTTTCATGGGCAATTATATTACAGTTGAGCGATTGAGAGGGCTCTGGAACAAAGCCACACTATGAAAGGTCCCGCGTCCGATTTGACCCGGAATCCCAATCATATTTCTACCTGATACTTTTCCGGGTAAAGACGACATGTTTTCCGGGTCAAAATGACACTTTTCCGGGTCACAATGACCCGAAAGATGACCAACATACTAAATAAAGGAAATAATGCGTGCATTTATTGAGGGAATAAATGTGTGCCTGACCGTTTTAAACACTATGTTTAAGACCGATTCGTTTCTGGATACTGAAAATTTATACCCGAGCCAAAGGCAAGGGTAATTTTCAGCATCGGTCAAAAATCAAAACTTTTCGGTCCAAAAGTCAAAACAAGTCCAAAATTATAAATTTCCAACGATTTTGTTCAACAATTTAACTTCATGTTTTTCGGACACCCCTCTAACTGTATTATGGTATGTCAAGTCTCGCGAGTCGTAGTAAAAAAAATCCCTCCTTATATGGAGTTTGGCGAGCAGGTCGCGCGTAGTGCGCGAGTGACGCAGAACGCAGCTGTGCCAGTATATTGTTCATTTAGTACTATGAAATACTGACTCGCTGGTGGTATTGCGCATGCCTACGTGAGGATTGTGAACGTTGAATCAATAAAACGGTAAAAAGCACCAGATTTCATACGAGTCCAAATTTCATGTGACACTGGAAAAGTGTTTAAGACAGGCCAGCCGGACTTTATCAACCGTTTAAAACCGGCCATGTGACGGGCTCTCGAACAATAGGAATGGGTAAACTGTCTTAGGTATTTATGAATGTGTATTGAAATATTCTGTCCTGCAAGGGGCAAACGTAAATTTTTATTCCGGCAGAAAAGTGACGACTTTAAGATAGGAGTAAATCATTCGCACGCAATCCGCGCATGCTTATAGTTGATTAATCAAGCAAAAATCACTGAAAGCAAGTTTACACTTCAGAGCACCTGTTTAGCTCCAGGTAAACTGAGCTTTTTTTTCCATTGGTGCCTCCTTCTTAAATCAACAGAGTCTGGTTGAGACGACTGTCGGCTTTTCTTTCGCAATAGGGCCAGCAGTAGGCGGCTTGCTGTATCACGTAAGTATGGAAAAATTGTAATCGGAGTTTATGAGTTAACGCAATGAGTGCAGTTGTTTTCTGTACAAAAAGAAAATAGTGAAGAGGCAAATACCTACCCCTATAATTTCCAGTCAATTGAAAGAAGCTGCATGTAAAAAGAATTGCACATGACATTATATTTGCCTTGGATGACACCAAGAACATTCTTTTCTTCTAATCTAATTTTTAGATTGAAGTAAAGTTGCCAAAGTGCTTGAATTTTTTATTAAATGTGATATTTTGTTATTGTACCAAGAAAACGACGTCTTCCCACAGTCCTAATTTGCTCAACATACGGTGAGGGGAGTGAGGCGCCCTCTGTTGTTTGCATACAGAATCAACAAACATCCCCAACAAACAAACACATTTTCATTTGTTTTGTTAATTTCCCTTACCAGGTTGCAGGATTTAGAATTCCTTTCTTCGTCCTTGGTGGTCTCGTCCTGTCGACCGTTGTCGTCAATTACTTCTTGATGCCTAATCAAGGTTTGAATCTTTAAAACCAGTAAAATGTTGATATTAAAAAAGGCTGATAGAGCGATTGCATTCACAGGCCATCTTTGAGGTTTTCGTTTACTCAAGTGTAGGGTCCCTGTTGAACAAAAGCACACACCGCAATAGATGGACTGCAACTGACGAAATATAAAAGATGAGATACGATATGGGGCCAAACTCGTGGCCGAAGATGCAATTCCCGAATCATTATATGTAGACTTACCTCAAGTAATCTTGAATTCACGTCTGTTTTTTTACCGCTCAAATGGGAAGACAGCGCCCTGGCCTCATTAGCTGAAGAAAAAAAATGACCAATCAATGTTAAGCTGTAGTAAGCATCAGATACTAACCCCGGACATCAGTGATTAAATAAAAACACATAAAGCACCGAATTTGTATTTGCATTAATCATGCATGGGGGTACCAGACCAAATTGAGCGCCACATTCAGGTGGTTGTTCCCTGCTGACTGCGTGCAATGTCATTTACCATTTCTGATCAGGGAAGGAGGCTGAGGAGTCTGGTTCTGTGAGACGAGTGCTGAGCATACCTGCCGTCTGGGTCGCTTTATTCGCAAACTTCGTTGGTTTTGCAGCCACCGCATCCCTGGAGCCGACTCTGGCAATTTTTTTGGACGAGGTAATGGAAACAAATGACATTTTCTTCAAAAAACATCTTTGGAATTAAGATATGCGAGGTCTGTTTAAGTGGCAAAGTTGCAATGGGCCATTCAGAGTTTTGACGATGAGCTCCGCCCACCTTTGGTGTATATACGTGTCTGTACTTTTTGACGATAATTTTTTCCTATAAACATTTTATTTGATTAACACTTTCTTCTTGATAGCTTAATTTTAGTGTGATGGCGATAAGTCTGCTCTTTGTTAGCTTGGGTTTGGGCTACGGCTTATTCGCAGTGATCTGGGGTGTCATTGCGGACGCAAAGGTAAGAGCAAACGTTAATCGGCAGGGCTTGTGTGTGTTAAGGAGTTACTTTCAATGAGAATGGAAAGACAGTGCATCGCTCCGAATTTCACACAAAAATGTTCGAGATTATTTTGTAGCAGGATATAACTTCACAACTGATAATAACAATTATAAGAAAAAGCTAAACATTAAAGCTTTGACTTTTTGTGTCTATTAATTTAACATTTTTGATTTCCTTACGTCAGAAATGCACTAGAATACTGATTGTAGTAGGTGCATCCGGCAGCGGTGGACTGTTTCTGCTGTTAGGGCTACCGCAGATTTTGCACTTGCCTGTGTAAGTTTACTCTTCAAAAATCGGTCGATGTTAGGAACGCCCCGAAACGCCTCACGTAGCGTTCCGTCCAGAACTGGTGCGTTATAGCAAATAATTAAAAAACTTGGTTTGTTCAGGTTGAACCAAGTAAACGTTATATTCTCTTTAAGAACAAAAAACGTCAGTCCAAAAACGCGGAAGAATTCCCAGATCATTGAAGCCAGAACCGGTGCATTAGCAAGTAACGTGCCCGTGTTAATACATTTGCGAACGTTCCTGTATAATTAACAGTCGGAACAGTTTTTGATCCTTTCTAAACGGACTCTCAGCGGAACGTTGCGTTGATTTTCGTTAGTCCAAAAATGGTGAACTACTCGAACTTGCTCACGACTGCAAACTCCACTTAAATGTTTGTAGTGTAGTCAACAATGATGCAACAATGCTGGTACATGTACATCACTGTAATAAGGTTCTGGCTGTCCCTTTGATTTGCAAAACTAAAACGTTTAAACACCTGAAACGTTTATCCTACAGGACTGGGGCACTTCCCGGCGTTACCATACCCATCGCAGCCGCAACGTTTTCCATGTTGGCTACTCCAACGTTTGTAGACATGTTACGTTCTTCAGAGTATGTCCAATTACTACACCGTTCGTTTTTAACTCTTATAAACGTTTATACTAACGCATTATTGCAACAGTGCTGAAGCACGGAAATCTTCCTCTTCTAAAAAAAACAAAAACCCACAACCATCAGCGTTTTACTGTCAATGAAACCAAATTGGACTTAGTTAAAGAAATGATGCACTCGTTCAGATTTACGCCAAATTGATATTCATATTTTTTGACATAATTATGGAAAGACTTTTTTTTTGGCTAACTTTATGTTTAGTCTATACATGTATAGGCTGCTGTTTTTTGCTAAAAAAATCACCAGGATGGATAACAAGTCAAATAGCTCAGAAAAACTTGTATGAGGTTACACATTGTACTTGTTAAAACAGAAGTTTTTAATTGATTGGATTAATACAATTCATAACCTCAATCCTACAGGTGGTATGGCATACCGAGTGGATTAGGTTTGACTGCCGTTATATCTGGCCTTTGGAACAGTTCGGCCGCACTTGGGTAAGAGAGCCAATAAGCTACCGTTGGTGGCGCTGTTTGTTGAATGCCTGAAGGCGAGGTCCTCATGCTCTCTTTTTTTCTGATGAGGATTTACCAAACAAGGGAAAAAGTCGCCAGTGTAAATCAATAGTGAAAGCTTACACAGCCTCGGTTTGGCCGAAAGTTTGAGCCAAAGACCGCTTGCGCAGTGTGTACTTCCTTTGCAAATTGGCCAAATAGCGCCACCTACAGTTCGTGCACTGAATGCATTCTGGTCCTCCTGCTCGTAGTACATGTATAAGTAAAATTAACAAACATGCGGAAAAGGAAGAGTTGATACGATAGTTTGGTTACATTTTCTTCATTGCCCTTTAATATGTCAATCATGCCACAAATACAATAATTTCTTTCATACTAAAGATGGTGCATATCTCTTGAGTCACCACCAGAAATGAACTAACACAAATACATTTTGATTTTTCCGATTAGCTCATTGGCGGGCCCGTTGCTAGGGGGCGTCATCACAGAGTATTACGGGTTCGGCTATTCGATTATGACCATCGCTTGTACCTCTTTCGCTGTTTTGATCATCACGTGTCTTTTTGGCATCTGGGAGTTTCGATGCGGAAAAGGGTAAGTTGCACATAAACACGAGAACGTAAAAAGGACATATTTGTCAATATAAACACAGACTTGAAATCTTTCATACCTTTATCCACAAGCACAAGCCGAACGGATAATGACGGTATAAAGCAGCTGATAGCGCCCTCATGAGACAATTTATGGAGAACGAGGTCAGAATGGACCGCCGTGATTGGATACTAACAACGTATGACTTCCTCAAACAAAGGTCATTTAAGCCAATGAAGTGTGAATTTAGGACTCTTTTATGAAATAAGCTCCGACAGGAGCTTCTACATTAATACTTGGTGGTCGGGTCGGTTAGTCTGATCTGTCTGTCTGTCCCGACAATTGACCAGAAGTATTTTGTTCCATAATGTACCACCGGCGTCGCATTTTTCGGCATCGTGCATTTTTCGGCGTCGCATTTTTAAGCTCTGGCGGGGATCGTTTTGATCGATTTCTTCAGCAGTGCAAGACTTTCCTGCAATCATGCAAGACTAATTCTTGCAACAGCCAGAGCTTGTTGTGCACACGTACACGCGTGGTTTAACCAATGGGTATAAAAGGAAACCGATTTTCATTGGAGTATGATTTTCATATGACACAGCGTTTATTTCCGCACGCGACACTTCAGTTTGACTCGTCCACAATCCTTTGCGTTTCCGGAAGAATATTGATATTTGGCACAGACTTAAGATTTGTCTGCAGTGTACAAATTTGAGTCACGAGTGTCCTCACTCAATATTTAATGTCCACTGAAATAACTCTGGAAAATTGTAAGTTAAAAGTCTTTTTGCCAAGAGAAATATTCAATCTCAAACATAATATAAGCAAAAGGTAAGTCTAGCTCCTCTTAAAAACTTGTACCTTTTGTATTTACCTTGTAGGAAGCGGGAACCACGCGAGGCTTTTTCTTCGGAGGACAACTCGAATGATCAGGAGATGAGACTACTGTCTTCAAAGTAGATTGACAATTGGTGGTATAACTGTATATTGCCATCTTGCTGCAATGTCCAGCGTAACTGGAATGTTTTGTTTCTTTTCATTACATAATTTTATGGTCGAGCTTATTTGAGAGCCAATTGGACTTCCAAATATGGTTGTGCCCAAACTTGGGAGAAGACATGGATTCAGGAATGATTATAAGCTCGTCTGACAGGGGTAGTAACATCACACGCTTTAATCGCCCGGTCATAAACAACTGTATTATTTAAATAACTAGCGGGGTGGAGTCATACACACTGTACTAATGTTTACCTTGACCTCAATTTGCATGTTGACTGCAAGTGGGCGTGGTTTCAAAATATGATAAAATAAATGAGATAAAATGTTATCCCCGGGATAAAAAAATGAAAAAAAAAAAAAAATTGAAAAAAAAAAAAATTAAGCTGTGGTTGGCAACATAGGTTGCTAAAATTGTATAGTTAACATCCTCATTATGTAAGAAAGAGGCATTTTGATCAAGTTTTTGATGGCATTTGTTGGTTATTTTGCATTTTCATACATCCAATGATATGTTTGGAAACATTATAAGAACCATTTTTGCAGCGTTGACCTTTCAAAGTGTGCCACACCATGGTTGGTATAAAACAGGGCCAACCACAGGTTGTGGCACAGAAAGTGCTACAACTTTCAAGGCTGAAGTTTCTTAATCTATAGGCTGAACTTTATAAACATTTAAAGGCTTGAGCTCGAACTGTAAATTGAATGGAAGTGCGATTTGAACCTACGACGTTTAGATGTCCATACCAGTGCTCCACTGACTGACTATCTTGTCAGAAACCTGATAGCTCATTGGTAGAGCACCATTACGAGGGTGTAGATAGCAGGTTCAAGTCCCAACCCAGTCAATGTCTTTGTTAAACCTCATAGACTTTGGGAATTGTCACTGCTCTGTTTCTGGAAGAAGATTAATACCCGGCTCGTCCTCGAGACAGGTCCCTTTTGTGCTGAAAACAAGGAAAATACAATTCCATCAAAAGTGTTTTTAAAAATGTGTAAGTAAGACAAAAAATAACAACCACGATTAGTAACCTGTCCAGTGCAGAACATTGTTAATTTGCTTAGAATTGGATGGAAATAACAGTAATAAATGTCTATGTTCAGTTTTAAAAAGTGTATCTCCTGCTAAAAAAGGTACATGTCGGTTTATATCACATCTTGTACAGTCTGTCTAGTTTAAAAACAAAAGAAATAGTTTCGTGAGTGTGGTGCCTCATGAGGGGCGGGGCAAGGATGGCTTCTTGGTGGGATGTCAACAAAAAGATTGATACCTACTTTAAGAAGTTGTGAATATAGTTTCTGCTGCAATTTGACCAGCCCAGCTCGGCATAGTTGTCCTGCATGTAAGTGTGACCGGCCAGACTTAAATTCCTATAATTATGCTGCCAGGTCCCTTCTGTAAAATATTTCTTTGTGGATGTCTTATATTTTTAGCATAAACGAGCGATGCAAAAGTTGTCGAAGCATTGCGAGCGCCCTCTTATGTTTTCCATTGAATATAGCATACTGAGTTGCGTAATTAATTTGCATAGGCATGCAGCGCGAAAAACCTTTTATTCCGTGCAGTGTTGCAAAAGCATAAAGCTTCGGACACACATTCCTTGAATTTTTCGCTAGTTTTCTTGGAGAGTAAGCAAGCATGGGTAGGTCACTTGACTGCTTGTCGTCGCTGCTGCCAGCCACACCTTATTGCGAGCCAGCTTCATTGAATTTTGCTGTGTTTCATACGTGGTTTTGCCACGGTTAGCACGCCGCATGTGCATACACATATCGTGTACATGCATATCGTGTAGTTTGCCCAAAAATCCGCAATAATATTGCGTTATTTTCCGATGCTATTGCGTCTTTCGCAATTTTATTACATTACATCGTAATATATAATGAATAATTAGTCATTCCAAAGATTTTGTTTCCATCACAAAGTAGCAATCCAGTTGCACAAATCTCTCAAATATCGCTTGCAATGAGCATAGCCAAAACCATGCCCAGTTAAGCCGACGCCGAAGCTCTGTTTTAAGTACAATTTTGCATTAGGTGTTTATTTTTTTAATGAGTAAACAAAACATTCTTTGAAATTATTGATTTAATAATGAAACATGATATCCCGCTAATAACACTTTCAACGCGTCTTCATCATCATCATCATCTAGCGGTCAAAACCAAAATCTGGTTCACCTCGCCAGGCCAGGTGTCTTTATCCCTCATTATCCCCCCATTCAACATAATTATAATCCACTGCGACTGCGCACTTTTTGTGGACAACTCAATTCACCGCCAAATCAGGCAAACGTGGAAAAGGTAGGTGTTTGGCCTTGTGATGATAATCAAAATGTATGGAATGATCAATTACTCATTTTCAACATTATTAAGAACCATTTATGCACTAACATCTTTAACATACCCCTTTTAGCGCACTGTCTGCAGCAACAGTGCGTACATCCGACGGCTTAACTCACCACTTAAATTAAGCAATATTGAAACGGGTGTTTTTTGAACGCAGTTTATGTATCAATGAAAAGCTAAAGAACTGCTCTTTAAGATTGAGACACATTGACACATTTCAAGTTCATTACTTTTATATATCAGCCCATTGTTTTTAGATTACCTTTTTTATACACGGGTATGTATCGGGAAAAAAAGCTAATTCAGGAAAAATTTGCCATGTCTATACCACAACCTATTACAACGAAACAAATTAGACAAAGGTATTTGCGGTGAAACCTCTATTCTTATTCACAAAATGTTCAAAACCTTTTCATCTCTAACCCCCTGTCTATTGCTCCATGAGCAAAGGCTTTATTGTCAACGCGGCAGTGTGTCAACTAAATATAGATTTTTCCGGCCAAGTTAGCAGATTTGGCGGCCAAATTTGCGACCAATCACCCATTTTCGCACGAATTTGTATGCACGTTGAGATCAACATTCACTCACCTAAAAACACCAAGCAATTTCACATGAGAAGCATGTGATTTCAATTTTAATCATGCAATTTCAAAAATAGGGCATTCAAATTAAAATTGCACAAACGAGCATTCAAATTTGCCGGAGCTTCAAGCTGTGTAAGTTTGGTCATTCGAATTCACCATTAAGCGAGCATATGTAACAAGTAAACAAAGTAATTGAACTAAGTAGGTCCATGTCGTTCCTTTGTTTGTTAGAATGAAGATGGAGTGTGTTTGTTACAATTTGGAAATATAGATATAAAAACCTCCCACAAGACTCTACCACTACTCAGATCACCATGCAAACTGTTAGATTGAAGTACTATATATAGAAATATCAACATGCCAGCTCATGGGCGTTACATGAGAATTTCAAATGTAGACAGTGGTCATTTAATCGAAGCTTTCGATGGCAATGCCCAAGACTATCTTGAACCTGCAGACAATCTTGGCATAAACAGATCTATTGCTGCAGGTCAATTGTAGGTCCGAGATCTGGCAGACGGGAACAAGAGGAGGGGCCAAAAACACAAAAATGGACCACGACATGAAGACGTAATAATCAAAAGGTGAAAGAAATGAAAAGACTCAGATCGTATACCTTCGTTTACTTTCATTTTGAATGCAGAAAGTGCTAAAAAGAATGCGCGGAAATGAAAACGAAAACAAGAATCTCATGCAAATAACCCTAAACCAAACCGACTGCTAAACTGAATGATCACTTAAACCAAATGACATAACTTCAATTTAGGATGTTTTAAACATAAAAATGTCCGGACTTAAACACGAATTTGAACACCTGAAATCTAATACGAACCACGGGAATGACGACAGGGTGCTACTTTGCTTCAAGTTGACCACTATCCAGATGAATTCCAATGCTATTTTTGCGAAATTGGCCGGGGAAACCTATATTAAGTATTAATCAGTATGTAGAGAACCAATCCAAATCTGCGCTACTCAATTTATTGGTCAACCTTCTATTTAGCAAAAGATGATAATAATTATATTTCTGATTTCAATACAGTTACTCATGGTGTCCCCCAGGGCTCACTCCTAGCCCCGTTTTTTTTATTGTGTGCATCATTGATATTTGAGCTACTTCTGATTTACTTTCATTTATTCTTTGTGCAGATGACACTATCATTTTTTTCTTTCTGATAAGCACCTCCCTACTTTATTTGATAATGTCAATCCACATCTGGTTAATGTTTGTGAGTGGCTGAAAGCCAACCACCTCTCTCTTTAAGAAATATTAAGAAATGTAATTTTATGATTTTCCACAGTAAAAGAAAACTCAAAGCAATATTTCTAATCTTACTATTCAGTTGTTAAACGAAACAATAACGTGTTGACAAAACTAAGTTCTTTGGTGTGATACTTGACAGCAAGTTGACTTGGACTCATCACATCAATGATATTGCTAGTAAGATTTCAAAATCCATTGGTAGTATACATAGACTCAAGCACATTTTTCCAACAAAATTCTCTGTACACTCTACAGGGTGTGTCAAACAAGAAACCCACGAAACCCAAATGTCGGGACCATTGGTTTAGTGAAGTTCTGCATGTAGCACTTTCAAAATCTAGGATATGAAAGCCCAATTCATAAGGTTTCGTTTAGTACAAAAATAATTCAAATCACTTATAATTCAAATCACTTATTTACTTTTTCAAGTTACGGAATTTTAAACACAACCACCGTCTCAAAGTTCTGTCCACGGATCACAAGAAGGTAAGTGTCCTTTCAGCAAAACGAAAACAAATCACATAGAGATGTGCGTGAATTGTTTTCGTTCCGCTGAAAGAACGCACACCTTTTTCTAGTGATCCGTGGACAGAACTTTAAACGGTGGTTGTGTTTACAATTCTGTAACTTATAAAGTACATGAGTGATTTGAATGATTCTTTTACTAACAGATAGCTTATGAATTGGGCTTTTATATCCTAAATTTTAAAAGTGCTACATGCAGAACTTCACTAAAACAATAGTCCCGGTATTTGGGTTTCGCTTTTTTTGACTCAGCCTGATTTGCTCTGTCATTTCCCCCTACCTAAATTATTGTGATAAAGTCTGGGAAAACACATTTCATACACACATTAACAAACTGTTCAATCTATAAAAGCCATTTGCTTAGTCTCCAAATCTCATTTCATTGCTCACACGGGATCCTCTGTTCAAACAACTCGAACTACTCAACCTTGGAAACATTAATACAGGCCGTATATCTTCAGAACATCTTTATTTACAAATGCTTCAACAAACAACTGCCCGCCCAATTCCAAACACTCTTTTTCAATTTAATTTCAACATCCATAACTACAACACACGAACTTCTACTAACATTCATCTTCCAAAACACAGGACACACATTTTCAACACACAATTCGATATACTGGCGTAATCAACTGGAGCAAACGTCTCAATGACATCAGAAACTCAACTATACACTTTACATATTTGAAACTAAAATTAAAATATACCTATACAACTGCTCTTTGTATAATACTTAAAATTATTTATAGTACCATATTTAGGCTAGTGTTAGTTGAAGGTTGTTTTGTTGTGACTTAGTGTTGTTTTGTTTGTCTGAATGTTTTGTCTAGCTGTCCGTCCGTCCGTTTTGTCTTGTATGGCATCCCCAGCTCAAGCAACCGCTTGCCGGGACATGTCTCCATTTTCACCTTTTGTTTCAAGTAACTTCTTACATTTATCCACTTGTTATACACCGAGTGTTAATCTGCTTTCCCACTTCCTCGTATTGAAGAAACGCTGGAGGCATTGGCAGGATCCCGCTTTTTCTCCTCACTTGATATGGCACAAAATACTTCCAATTGATGATGCACCCAGACTCTGTTGACAGAACTGCTTTTCGAGTCCCATGGGGGCTGTTTTCATTCGACCGGATGCCACAGGGACTCTGCAACTGTCCCAGTACGTTTCAACGAACAGTTAAATTGATATTTGGGGACATGAACATGTCTAAATTAATACTTTATCTTGATGACATTCTTGTCTTCTCTAGCACATTTGAAGAACATCTACAGAGGTTGGGTGTTGTATTTGATCGACTTATCGAACATGGGCTAAGGTTGAAGGGCCAGAAATGTCTCTTCTTTCGGCGAGAAGTGAAACATCTCGGGCACATAATCAGTGAAAGTGGGGTCTCGGTGGATCCGGAAAAGGTACAGCGAGTAGCAGACTGGCCGGTTTCACCTCTATGTTCCGACACCCTTATGTTCCGACTGCACATATTCCTATTCCTAACCCTAACCCTAACCCTAACCCTAACCGGGAGTAACACAATCTAGGTTGTCGGAACATAGGGGTGTCGGAACATAGAGCAGTCACCGACTGGCCGACCCCGAGCAATTTGGGGGAACTCCGATCTTTTCTCGGGCTTGCCTCCTACCACAGGCGTTTTGTCCCATATTTAATAGCAAAACCATTGCATAAGTTAACGGCCAATGTAGAGACAAAAGTAGGGAACCTGCCGTCTGGGTTTTTGTGGTCTGATGAGGCTAACAAAGCGTTCTGTGAGCTGAAGAAGATGATGTGCTCAGCCCCTGTGCTCGCCTATCCAAACTTTGATAAGGAGTTCATAGTCGAGGTCGACGCCTCACTCCAAGGGCTTGGGGCTTGTCTTTTGCAAGCCGATGACCATGGAGCCCTCCACCCTATTGCATATGCCAGTAGAGGTCTGCGAGGGCCCGAGAAGAATTATTCAGATTTTTCATGCTTCAAGCTTGAACTTCTCGCCCTTAAATGGGCTGTCTCCGAGAAATTCCGAGAATACTTACTAGGTGCTCATTTCACGGTATTTACAGACAACAACCCTGTTTCGCACCTCCAAAATACGAAATTGGGGGGCATGGAACAGCGCTGGGTTGCGCAGCTTGCGCCATTTAACATGACAATAAAGTTCCGGTCTGGGAGAACAAACAAATGTGCAGATGCACTCAGCCGACGACCAGTGGAGGTTGCAGATATAGCTGAAATGGCAAATGACTGTACCTCAGTCCCTTGTGAGATCCAACCTAAGGAAGTTGTAGAAAATTCAGATGAAAATTGTGCTGCTGGGATTGATGCGCCCCGGTCGTCAGCAGTCCTGCCGTCTTTCTCCCACACTGAACTAGCATTAATGCAAAGGGAAGATGAACAACTAGGAGAACTTTGGAAACTTGGGACTCCAAGTGGCAACCTGATGCGCCCAGACCAGGTGTAAATACCCCTGGTATTGTAGGCTGGATGAAAGAGGGGACTAAAGTAGTTGAGCGGAGGGGTGTGCTTTACAGACAAGTGAAGGATAAGGCTCGTGGTCCAGTGTACCAGGTGTTGGAGGCCGCACATGATAATTGGGGACACCAGGGTGTGAACCGCACACTGGGGCTCCAGGCGGGTGCACACCGGTAAATCGTGAATAAAAAAATATACCCTCAAAATATTCTATATAAGAGAGTTCTGAGCGCCGTAAAATTGGGGAATTGAAGAGATATGGTAATGAACCTCTGGCCCGGAATGGGGCTTCCAATTCTGAACATTTTGGATGCTATTGGGCTCGAAAGTGGCGCTATTTTTCCATGTTGTGGAGGGATCGTTTTTCAAAATGGCTACTTTTCCGCTTTGGGGATAATAGGGGTCGTTTTCTTTGGGTGAAAATATCTCGAAAAGTCAATGGTCAACCCACCAAAAATTGAAAAGAAAACTAAAGATGACATGTTGATTATCATTTTTCTGTGCAGCTTGAATACCTGTGAGAGTTTTGAGTATTTTTTTTGTTAAAGAATTTTGAAGTATGGGCATTTAGCACTAGTGTCTATGGGAGTTTATTTGCAGGTATGCATCCTATAACGAATAACAAAGATGGCCGTTTCGCGCATGCGCTGTGCCGCGGCAGTGGTCTTTTCAGTAAGCGGAACCTACGGGGAGGGGAAAAAAGTGTTTTAAAGGTATCAACAAGGGTTTT